AGAATTCAGAAGACCTCATCTTCAGATTTCTGGGGGGGCAGAGGGAAATAGAGAAATGGCACAACTGATCTAATACCCTTCAGCTCAGCCGAAGTTTGATACTTATGTCAGTTTTTTCACAAGTTGAAAACATCCGAGTACAAACGGCAAAAAGAAGTCTCAGCAGAAATGATTCTCGCTAGCCGAAGTTCTGCACTTAGCAAATATTTGAAAGATCATTCAAAGAAAGCAGTAAAGTGCGAAGATTGGTAAAGCGAAGAAAAAATATACACAAGAAAGCTGAGAAAGTGAACTTCTTTGAAATAAAAATGTTGAATTACAAAAATAGTCGGCAGCCGCCCACAAGCGGAAAGTAACAGCTGCCGAAATACGTACAGGCAAAATAAAAATATAATAAGCTGTTGTACGATAAGGCAAGCTGAAGCAAAAAAAACAAAAGGCAAAAACTCAGAAAGCGGCAAGTCTAAAGTTAAGCACATGATGAACCGCAAGATTCTGAAGACGACTGCCCGAGTTCCTATGCTTCAGCCGGAGGATCAGACTGATCAGCGTTGAGTCCCCTGGTGGCCTCAGCCCCAGCAGCAGAAGAGGCGGGCTTTGCACTTTGCCGAGCCTCCCTTTCCCTCTGCTCAGCTTCCAACTCCAGTCTTTCAGCTTCCTCTTCGGCTTCCTCAGCCTTAAGAATTTCAGCTTCAGCTGGAGTTGCATACTTCATGTGAGGGTCTTCGGGATTCTGGACCCACTCAGCACATTTAGACCAGTCAAGCTTCGGCTCAGCATGAAGGCAGAGTCTTCGGCATACTCGGAATCCGTTTCTGAAACCCATCTCATATTCCTCTTGGGTGTAAACACGGACTTTGAGTAAAGCCTCAGCATCAGCCAGCTTCTTCTGGGTCTCCTCCAAGTCTTCCTTGGATTTCTTCAGCTGTTCAGCGACTTTGGAGGAGGACCCCTTCAGCTCATTCAGCTCTTGCTGAATTTGGAAAGCCTTTGTCTGAGCTTGGGCCACTTCAACTTTCTGGATCAGCAGTTGATCCTCAGCCTCTTGGAATTTAGCCCTTTGAGCTTCAGCAGCAGCAGCAGCCTCTGAGAGTTGGACGTCTTTGGCCAAGAGCAACTCTTCAGCAGCCATTCGGCTGGCTTCAAGAGCCTCTAGACGCTGCTGCACTTCAGCTTGTGCAGCAGTTCCTTGAATTCGGCTCTCAATAGCAGCCTTGAACTTGGAGACGTCCACTCCCATATGCTCCTGGAGGAATTTTTCCCCTTCCATCAGTGGGGGAAAAACCTCCATCTCCATAGCATCGCAGAAGGTTTTCAGAGCTTCGGCAGCTTTTTTGCCGTACTCCTCAACCTCCTGCTGCTTCTCTTCAGCTGCTGCTTGCTTCAGCTTAGCAAGCTTAACTTCCTCTTCAGCCACCTTCCTTTCGTGCACAGCAGCGTCCACCCTATCTTGTAGGGAATCTATCAGCTCTACGGTGAGAGTCTGATTGTGCACGAACTGAAAACAGGGGCACAAGTTAAAAAAGTAAAAAATAATAGCTGAAAGGTTGAGTTCAGAAAGAAATCAAGGCAAGGAAAATTACCTGCATCATCAGCAGTTGGTTAGACCTGGCTGGGTCAGGAACTGATCTACTGGATTCGCCCATCCCAGCAGTGGCCTTCAGCGACCAGATCCTTGCCCTGTCTACTTCGGACATGCCAGCAAAATTGCCGAAGTAGGCTGCAGCTCCTTCTCGGTTTTGACCCCATATGAGGTCCCAGATGTGATCTGGGATTGGAATTCGGGGGGCCGAGAAACCCATTTCTCCAGAATGCAGAGTCTGGAAAGAAGGGAAGGACGACGATGGAGCTTGATTAGCTTTGGTTGTCTCAGCATCGTCCTTCTCAGAGGAGTCAAGTACTATGACCTCCTCTTCTTCAGGGGTGAGGACGAAAGCCTCAACCTCTCTTGCGATATCTGCCGTGAAGCCTTCAGCACTTGACATCACGGCATCTTTATTTTCGTGCTCAGCAGCACTCTCCTTGATTTCTTCTTGGACCCCTCCCTTAGGTCCGGGAGTTCTCTGATCCACCTCCATCTCAGGAGGTGGCGGAGGGGTCTTTTGAGGAGATTGGGGTGTTGGCTGGGGAACCCTCGGCGATCCATTGCCTTCCTCAGGTTCCCTTATTGCGACGCCGATGGTCATCGGCCTCTGCTGAAAATCATGAGGGCCGATGATGGCCATCCTTCGGCGCCTTTTCAGAAGGGGCTGCTCGTCCATATCTGAATCTGAAGACTCTTGTATTTGATCTTCGGGACGAACAGGAGCTTTGCCTTCTCTGTGTCTGTTACTCTCTTCAGACTGTAACAGACAGGGGGGAAGAAGAGTGTGAAAAAAAAAAAAAAAAAAAAAGAAAAAAAAAAAAAAAAAAAAAAAAAAAAAAAAAAGAAGAAAAAAGTTGTCTAAAAACTCACCGAGGTCTTCAGCAAAGCCTCGTCTTCTTCAGCTGCTCTAGCTGCAGCTTCGGCTTCAGCAGCTCTGGAGGACCCTTCTCCTCCTTCACAAGCCTCAAGTACCCGTGCAACCTCTTCGGCTGTGCGGGCAGCTTCAGCTTCTTCTTCCAGCAGCTGAAACAAGGGATCCCTCTTCTTCCACCAAGGCTTCTGCCTCTGATACAGAGCAACAGCCTCAATTTGGAAGTGGGAAGAGTCTAGGTGAACCTCTCGGCGCCTTGGTTCAGTGATAGGGGGAGCCCGATCAGTTACGACTCGTTCTCGGCTGACGCCAAGGCGAGCGTAATCAATGCCGACGTTGGTCTCGTCCCGTTCTGAAAAAGAAAAGGGGAGAAGTCAATTCAGTTAGTTCGGCACATCACAAGAAAGCAAAATGAAAGAAGAAAAGAGATAATTAAAAGGCCTCGGCCCCAGCCGAAGAAGATTACCATCCCTAAACTTTCGGCTGAGGCCGACAGCTGCCAGCATATTCTCTTGGAAAACATAGTGCGTATCGGGGAGCCAAGTCTCCGGGATATGCTGCATTCGGCCGCTGCCTCCCCGGTTCGGCAGCTTGCCGAAGATGTTCTGCTGATTAAGGTTCGGGTCTGGCCCGCTATCTTCGGGAGGACCTAAACTTCCCATATCAGGATCCGGCTCGGCAAGATACCGGGGAGCGCTGAAAACATAAGGATGGCTCGGCTCCGTGGGCGCCCTAACCCAAATCCATTGACCTCTCCAGTCCTTGTCTGAAGAGTCGTTCGGCCACATGGTTAGGAACGGGGGCCGAGACTCAATCCGATACCACCCAGAACCATGGCTTCCGTGCCCACTCTGAATATTTGGCACTAGCCGATGGAGCTTTCTGAAGCAGTGCAGGTTCGGCACGTATCTGAAGAATTTGCAGACCCATAAGTACGTCATTACCCTTCGGATGCTGGTGGGGGTCAGCTGGCACAGGGAAATGTTGTAATGGATCAGCAGGTCTCGGACGAATACGTCCAAAGGGAACCTCAGCCCATACTGAAGCTGTCTCGTGTACACCCCCACATACCCCGGGGGTGGACGATGGATTCTATCGGATGCTGAGGGCATTCGGCACCAATATCCATCAGCTTCAAAAATGCCGTAGTGCAACTCAATTTGCTCAGCAAATCGATATTGATCGGCGTTCTCTACCCACCATGAGTAGGGACGGTTCTTTATCATGGCCGAAGCTACTTCGGCATCCTCCCACTCTGAAAACCCTGGGAGGATATCCCAAAGGACAGCGGGAACTTCATCATCCCGTCCTGAAGCTCTCACCCCCTCAGCCCTCTGAGGAGGAGCCGAAGAAATGGGAGTCGCCCTAACCCCTTCAGCAGGGTCAGACTCTGTCCTTCGTCCATTCCAGGTCCCAATCCTGTCCCTGGGATCGGGGATTAGCCTTGCTCTTCTTGGAGCACGGGCTCCACCTCTAACTCCCCTCACCATCGACGAATTTCGAAGGAAAAAGTCGAAAAAGGGGAAAGAGTGCAAAGTCGAGGAAAAATGAAATAAAATCAAAGGAATTTACCTTGATCTGAAGCAAAAGCCGCCGATTTACGAATTGGTAGTGACAGGTCTCAGCTTCTAAGCTTAATGCTCGGGGAATTTGCGAAGTTTTGATGCGGGCTCTTGAGCGTTCTTGAGAATTCTGGGTTTGTGTTGATGAGTGAGTGGGGAGAGAAGACGCGCCTCTATTTATATCTCCAGAAATGGGAATTCAAGGAGTCTGCGTTTCAATTTCTCTCAAGCACCCCACTAAGTAGCCGTTAAACACACGACCTTGCAGTTAAATCGCCCACTACCCGTCCAACTTCCGCAATCATCCACATTAACTGTTGTTATCTCATTAATCATGGGTTAATTACGGTTTAAATTCACATTTTTGGATCAGCAAATCATTCACTTCCCTCCTTTTCTGGTTAAATCAAACCCGACCCGTCATCCTTCCAAATCGGGTCTGGGGGGCAAGTTGTTTGGGTCCAATTTAGTCCAATTGGGCCTGGTCACTGAATGATCCAATTAAAAGCCCAAGGCAAAGGTTCAACTCTCCAAATATGCTAAAGTCAGTAATCAACATCCTCAAAGCCATGTCAAGGTCAGTCAACGGCCCAATCAGCTTGGCCCAGCCCAACTGATTTCCGGGCCCAATCCGCCTCCTTCATTAGCCAAGGTATAAAAGCCAACAATTTGGTCAATTCTTGGTAAGAAAAAGACAAAGAAAAAGACAAAAAAGCCTCAAGCAACTAAACTCTTGCACAGCTTTCTCTCTCTAATATACTGACTTAAGCATCGGAGGGGCCTTCCTCGGCGTCCCCCCCGAGGCTAGTTTACGTGTATTTGTTGTGCAGGAAACCCTCGGCTCCTGCGTCGTTCGGACCGAGACCAAGTTCCCTCAAGATAAAAGGATCTTCCGAGATTCGATTGTTTTCATCCGAAACACTGCTTTTTGCTCGTGAGATTTGTCAATATTTTGTGTGTATAGTAATTGTTTCTCGCATAGGTTTGCTGTGATGGCTGTGATGTTTGGGAGCATGCTGAGTTTGCTGAAATCTGTGGCAAAAATCTCAAGGTTGGTTCACTCTTTGTTTTTGTTTTATTGACAAGACCTGGTGCTTGTAAAGACTGTTTTTAGAAGATTTATTTGTACATTCTGTTTCTATCTAAGGATTTGGAAGATGCGGAATATTACTGCCCTGATTGCAAGCCAAAGTTTGCATTTGAGCCATCATACTCTGTAGATCTACCTGAAGTCAGCCCAAAGTACGTGTTTACTTCTGTTTGTTGTTACTGTTGCTTTACTTTCATTGTTATCATCATTATTAATATTGTTATGGATAATTTATTATAGATATACAGCAAATACTTTTATTATTATTACTATTATTGTTGTTTCTGGCATTTATACAACCGATTTTGAGCTCAAACAATTTAGTAAGAGTTACTATTGTATGATACAGACAACTTGTGCCATCCGATGAGGTAACTGTTGCGTGCAATGGTATGGAGGCATCATATATCCCAAGCCTTCACTTGTAAGTTCTAAAGGTTACAAAAATTATATATTAGCTCTTTTAAATTCTTTTTTTACATTTTGCAAACAATATGCTATTAATTTGATTACCTGTGCTCTTCTTTTTAGGATTGTGTGTAAGTGTGGTAAATGTGGGACAAGGAAGTAGTCATTAAGTGAATGGGAAAAGCACACTGGTTGTAGAGCCAAGAAATGGAAGCATAGCGTCAAAGTCAAAGGCTCAATGATCCCCTCGCATCAGTGGGTAAGGCAGTCCTTTCTGCTTTAATTTGAATATGTCAAAACATTATGATTATCTTGGATTTAGCTAGCATAGTTGTCGTTTGGTGGTCTCCTTGTACAGTGTGATCATACTCAATACTCACGCTGTCGGATTTCGGAATCACTTATGATGAAGGATATGAGATCATTTAAGTGAAAGACTCTTGATAGTTTTTCATAGTATTTGTTTAAGCAAGGATATGTTTAGTGCAAAATTTTAATGAGATAGATGATATTTATGCAACCTTTGATGAATCTTTGTATTAGAAACACCAAGATCTATCATATATGGATAATATATTAGTAGGAATGATCAGTTGGGAAATGCTATATCTGCATATTAATGCATTAATTGAAGTAAAGTACTCAGATTTTGTATGTTGGTTATAACCGAGTCTAGCAGTAGGTTTGCTGAATTTAAATGACATTTCCAGGTGTTGATACAAAGGACTAGTGTTTTGTAGTCTATTTTTAATATGACTAGAAATAATAGACATTCATTTATTCATTTGCATAGAAACAGAAGATAATCTTTGTGCATGGCTCTCTGCATTTTTTATGTAATGTATTTAGAGGAAACAAAGAAAATCTTTGCTAGTCTATTTACATGAGAGAATGTGTATATGTAAATATGAGGCACACTTAATATATGACTTCGATTTTTTTCTTTATTCTATGTTATATAAGCCCATTTTCAATGTACAATTAGAAAAGCTCCATTTTGCATATCATGACTTATTATTTACATTTTATAATTCTCTCAGGTAGTTGCATCACATATCTATGCTGATAATCGGGCCCCTATTGAGAAATTAAAAGATGGTGAAGCTCCCCTTTTGACAACTTGCAATCAAAAGCTGCTTATAACTGTACGATGATGGTTGTAGCTCTTATTGGTGCTCACCCTGCGTAAGTATCATGAAAGATTCTATAGAATGTATACACTAAATTTGATCAGAGCAGTAGTTCTATAGAGTGTATAAGTATACACTAAATTTGATCAGGTGTCTAGTCATCAAATGAACATAGAATGTTACTTGGACTCCTCACATAAATCAGACTATAAGTTTCTGAGTTACCATACATTTTTAATTCTTGAGGCATGTGCATATATTGTGAATTCTGAGTGCAGTTCTTTTCTTTCTCATGTTGCTTGTGACAACTGGTATCTCTCTTTGCAAAATTTATTAAGGGGACTTCACTGAGTACATATAGCCCCCCCCCCCCCCCCTCTTTATTATTTTTTGGTGAAGATCTAGTGAACATAGTACAAAACCAATCTTTGAGTTTTCCTTTGTTCTAAGTTGGCTGGAAGTGGCCTGTGCATGTGGCCTGGTCCTGCCTGAGAGACTCTTGGCACTTGTCCTATGCTACATTTCTGAAAATCAGCATAGCAACTTGGTCCTGCCGACTGAGATGCTGCACTATATGTTGTGCTAGAGCTACTGTCACTTGTCACTTCTGCTCTGCCCTACCGAGGCTGTTGTAAATTGTTTATTCCAAATACTGGTTTGATTTGTTTATCTGATTTATGATTTGTTTACTCTGATTTGTGTAGGTTCTTGTTCAAAACGCTATAAGTTGATTGATTGATTGATTGTATTGTCTGGAATTTTACTTCTTCCGTAATAATGAACTTGTAATTTGGTGAAAATATACTGAAGTCTGTCAATTTCAGGAAGAATTAGTCTGGCCAGAATTAGATCAGTTGCTTCGGGATGAGGATGATGAAGTTGGAGGAAGTGGCAAATAACCAAGCAAAGAATTCACCAAATACTACTGTAAGGGCTCACAGTGAAGAAGGTACTAGACAACCTGATAACGGGCTTAGTGCTGGTTGAGAATTTGCCTAAAAATTCATGTCGTTCATGCCACTTTGTTTTTCGAGGAATATTGTAATTTTACAGCTTTTTTATGAAAAACAATGTAAGTTAATATATATGTAAGTGTTTATATATCATTTTAAGTGAAAAAAATGCAAAAAAAAAATATTTTATTTTTTTTGGCCATTATTGCCACCGGTTTTGACCAGGAACCGGTGCCAATAACCTCTTTAAAAAAAGCGGGAAGGGTTATTGCCACCGGTTAACCGGTGGCAAAAATATATATTGCCACCGGTTAACCAGTGGCAATACTTGTTTTTGCCACCGGTTTTGAACCGGTGGCTTTTTATACGATTATTGCCACCCCCCAAATGCCCACCGGTTCAAAACCGGTGGCATAGGGGGGTTTTGAACCGGTGGCCAATTTATATTTTCGTCTAGTGATTGTTGAATTCAAGAGAACAATCTTCAATTAATCTACTACAATGATTGAGTTTGAGAAGATCTATGCACTACTACATTTCTGATCTATTGCAACCCCCAAATCCGTTGCATTAGGCGTCAAAATCCGTGGCATTAGGCCTAATGCAACGGCCATGTACCGTGGCATCTGCTGGCGTTGCAATAGGTCTAATGCAACGGCATATAACACCTAATGCCACAGCACCAATGATCCGTGGCAATAGACCAATACCTGTTGTAACGGCATAACTTATCCGTGGCAATAGAGTACTGACTAATAATTATGATGAAATTGAACCTATTGCAACGGATGAAGCTAATTAATACAATGATAGGAGTACGTATCTACTGCAACGGATTGATATTTATTTTTTTTTGGTTTTTTGTTGGGATGGGATGGTAATATAATATATGTATAATTAGTCAGTACAAATTAAAATATGCTAACAGAAACAAATTAAAGTATCATTTATATATAATAATTATAATGCGAAATACGTTCATTATTGCCCTTAAAGGGAAAAGTTACAAAATCAAATTTCACTAATTAAATTAATTGAGAAAACTATAACGACTACAATCTTTGAGAGGCAAGCGACCAACATTAGCAGGTGAACAACAGCAGTAGAGACCAGCAACACAGCAAGCTGTCCCAACATCAACAAGCTCAGCAGAACGACAGCAGCAGCCAAAACCAGGCATGCACAGCACCATGCAGAAAGAAGTACAGTAGCTGACAGTGCAGAACAACAGCAGTAAAAGGAACAACAGCAGCATTAACCAGCCAAAACCAGAACAAGACAGCAACGGAAACTAGGAAACAAACTAGAAGCAAACAGGGAAAAGCAAGTCCAAACCAGGATGCCTTCTTCAACCCTACAACAGCTCAAAACAGCAAAGACAGGCAGAAAAAACAACAACAACAACCAGGCAGCCCAATAGAACCTACACGACAGCAGCCTGCACCTAACAACCCCACAGGCAACCAAACAGAGACCAGCAAGCAGCTAGCAACACAGAACAACAGAAGCCAGCAGGCCTACAACCTGCATATATCAAAGAAACCCAAAAACCTTATAAAAACACAATCCAATTTCATCAAAATCAAAAAAGAAGATAAACATCCATCATTCCTCTTTTCTCATATATAATTCAATGAGAAATAAAAAGAAGTAAAAAAATACCCGGAGGATGTAGTGGCTACAACAAACAATAAAGTCAAGATCAATAATAAAGGATAATTATTCACATGTTGCTACAGGTTAAAGTTAAAGCCGAAGAAGAATAGCAGCATCAGCTGCCTAAAACGCATAAAGAGCAACGATTTTTAAATTTAGTTTGGAATCAAGAGTAAAAACTAAGCAAGAACTCACAAGGGGTTAGAGATATACATATATAGAACAAACCTGCAATGCAATAAAAAAAAACAGTATTCATTCAAACTTGCAGTGTTACCGGTGAATATATGTCAATGACAGCATCTATATCTTATTAAATTTCTTTCGGGGTACTTACAAATGAATAAGCAAGTGTCATATTTTCATGGAGTAGCTGAGGTGGAATTTTAAAAATAATATATAAAAATAATTAATTCATATATAGACATGTCTCTAAGGAGTAACTGATTTTCATTCTGTCAGACCTTTACTGGTAACTGATTTTCTGTCTCTATTTCGTATCCACATAATCACTACGCTTAAAATGAGGCACATCCTATAACACCAAACAACATATAATACGGTATCTCTAATTCGCACTGTATAATGAGGGGTACTTATTAGAGGTAGGCATGGGCCGGGCTGGCATGAAAGTCAATCAAGTATGATAGTAAAATGGACTGACATAGTATGAGTCCGCCACAAGCCTTACCACAGTCACCACAGTTCGGAGGGTATGGATATTATTTTTAAAAGTTGACATGAACATGGCACAAACATGGTATGTCAACCTCCTTTAATAATCTAATTTACCAAACAGTATATAAAAATTACTAAAAGGATCTACTGACATAACACCCCCAAACGAATATTTCTTAACTTCTTTCAAGCACGGCCTACTTGAACACGAGGCATGCTAGCACATTGGCCTATCTCATATCCAACATTAGAAGTTGTATACTAGCAGTTCCTCAAACCTTGTATAGAATCTTGTATAACTCACTAATTTGCTCTTTTTTGTGATTCTCTTGCACTGAACAAAAACTCTTGCCAAAATGAAGCACGGCCCAATACAACAAATACGTCCACCATCTGTGTAACATTCATAATTCCATACAAAAAAAATCTGAACATCTAATCATAATAATTCACAAATTATAAACCCCAAACAAGGGGAAGGAAAGAGAAAAAAATGAACTAAGACCATAGTATACAAGACCTAGAAACCAAATCTCCCAAAGAAAAAAAATTAGAAATCAGAAACTGAGGGAAACCTGAAAGCTAGAAGAAACAGTACAAAGGTCAAAGATCCAGCAAGTTTGAATTTTTTTTTTATAAAGGGCTGAGATGCAGAACACCCCCTCAATTTCACTTTCTTAGGAGCCTTTATTTGATGCGCCATCAACTCCCATCCACCATATATTGCCTCTCACCTTGGAGGGCGGTTATACGATCAGACTTCATATATAGACATATAGTCATATCCTCGACCAAAATTGCTACTTAATAAATTCCACCTCAGCTAGAGCTAAAAGCTATTTATGTCAATTTTTAACTTAAAGCTATTTATGAGAATTCATATTTTATTTCATTAATGAAAAAAAAAGCTAGAGGTAACATTCGCAAAAAATTTATCTAATGGATGGAAATTATGTTTCAGTGTTTACATGGAGACAAAATGAAAGATTAGGAGGGCGGTTTCAGTTATATAATTAGCTATTGATAGGTAATGATCCCATTAGTTTAGTAAAATAAAAATTGCTAAGGATGTTATATACACAAATGACAGGAGGTATTACCATAAAATACTAATTATGACACTAATATAATTGCAGCTATAAAATTTAGCTGATACAAATAAATGAATTATGCAAACTCTGCAGTTGTGAATTACGGCAGCATAAATCATGAATATAATTATCATTCTCAAATTTCCATTAATATGATAATAACTTGAACCAATAGTAAACTCAAATTCATATAGACAACAGTTATAATTACTGTGATTAAAACAGATAAAAAAAATCTGATTTGAGACGAGACAAGTGTCAAGTGATGAGTGTACAAACTAACATATATACACTTGTATTTCTGCTAAGAATTGCAACACGTCACAATGGCCATTATCAGAAAGTGCAAGAAGACAATAAAAATCATAGAACCATACAGAAATAACAATCAGCCCATGTAAGCTATTTCTAGTTCAAAGAAAATATTGTGATTGGAGACATTAGTAGCAATTGTCCCAACATGTAAGAAGATGATAATACAAGAAGCCTCAGGAAAAAGGACAGAAGTTTAATAAGAACCAGTTACTAGACATTATAACACCAACTATAGTAATCTATTGTCATTACCTATACCATAACATTTGCATTACCATAACCAACAAAACAACCAAAAGCACACTTATTTGCAAGTTAAAAATCAACCAATTTTCCAATAATCAAACCAAATAAGAAATTAAAGATAAAAGAAGGAACCTGGCAAGAACATAAAGGCGAGAATCCCAAACGAAAGAAATTAACCTGACAGTTCTCGAGGAATTAAATGTTTTACAAACGAAAGAAAGAGAGGTAGAAATGCAATAGAAATAGCAATTATACCTGACTCCATTGTTGAGCTACCAAGCGACCAAGAACACCAGATCCAACAATTAGCAAATCACTCTCACTAACTACCACGGACGATGATGATGTTCCTGATTAACATTAAATAGTTAATTGATTGAAACTTTTTAAGTGTATAATTGTCGAAATTGGAACAATAATTGAAAGGGGAGAGAAAGTAGCGAGAAAGAGGAAAAAAGAGAGATAAAGATAGAAGGCTTACTCAAAGATCAGGGCACGAAGCTGGAGTTTGAGCGACATTAGCTCAGCAACTCTCCACCACCGCCATCAATTACAAATCAAAACTCACCATCGTTGCTCTCCACCACCGCCAACAGTTACAAATCGAAACCCTAGAAATCGAAAAAAATCAAATTTTTGAATGAATTTTTTCGTGATTTTCACCTCAAAATCGGCCTCAGAATTTTTGTTTTACCTTGATTATTTATGTGAGATGATGATGGGGAAACTAGAGAATTGGGGGAAATTGAGAAAATGGAGAATTGGGGGAAATTGAGGAAATGGAGAAATAGGGTGAGAATGGGTACTGTGAGAATGAGTGGAGAAAATGGGTGAGAAAAGTAAAAACGTGTTTGTTCAAAATTTTGGTGAAAAAATTAGAGGGAACAATGCGCGCTTCAACCTAGCTAAAATTTTCATGATACAACACTACCGTTGCATTAGCTTTCATTTTTGTTAAAATATCTAGGCTATTGCAACGGTTCTTTAGAGCCGTGGCAATAGCTCTACCTCTAAGAGCATTAGTTTTATATCCGTGGCAATAGCCTACTCTATTGCAACGGCAATAAAAATACCGTTGCAATAGGCTATCTATTGCCACGACATTTGGATAAGGCGTTGCAATAGCTCATTTTTTGGCGTTGTATTTGATCGAAAATGTAGTAGTGATGCTAATTAATGAGGGTTGAGAAAAACTAAGGGCCTAAGAAAACTAAAAGGGAAAGAAGATCCCCCCATCTGAAGTCAAACGTCCTATTTATATGCCCAAAAATTACATCGTAAAATCCGTCAAAATCGGGCTTCAGAACAGTAGGAGCGCCCGCTCCTCTGTGTGTAGCGCCCGCTCCTGGGCTCTCTGCATGCCCTCTCCTCTTGCAGCAGTTTGGGGCAGAATGTAGGAAAACAGGGAGGAGCGCCCGCTCCTTGAAGGATGCACGCCCGCTCCTATATGTGCAGGGGGAGGCAGAATGTGGCAGTTAAGGTAGGAGCGCCCGCTCCTTCTTAGGTGCACGCCCGCTCCTGCTTTCCTTTGCTTCCAAAGAGTATTTCTTCATGCTTATGCTATTTAGCCCATTCTTCATTGTACCTACAAGCACGAGCACACACATAAAAAGAAACGGGGAAGCCAAAAGATGCAAATTAGCACAAGAGGAGTTAGAAAAAGGGATTAAAGTAGGGGAAAGAGTACAAAATTGTGTTTAGAAAGCCATGATAAGTGGACAAATAAAACACTTATCAAATTCCCCCAAGTTTGCCAATTGCTTGTCCCTAAGCAATTCACTTGGCGCAAAATAAACCAATAGATTAGTCCGCTCAAAGAAAAGCACATGTAAAGATAAAAGAATCCTTAAGCAATAAAACTCGAGCATGAAGTATATGCCTAAGATCACCTACGGTCATGACTAGCCAAGGCCTAGCTAACCTTCCCGAATGTACTCAACTTTGGTCCATTCAACCAATCTTACCGCGTCCCCAACACAAAGTTCAAATTCCCCCTAATGGTAGTGTCTCATGACTCCTCGAAGGAGCCGGAAGAAAAATAGACAAAAGAAGGTTTAGAACACTCGACATCTCAATGATAATTACCCTCTCCATATGCTTGTGAACCAACTCCCTCCACCGACTATGGCTTCAACTACTCTACTAACATTACAAAACTCAAGGATTACGACACAAAGTTAAGGCATAGAGAAAACTAGAAGTACTTTGCAATTAAAGTCAAGCTAAGATATATAGCACTAAGAGCAAACCTAAAGAGGTTTCTAACTTTGACCCAAATTACAAACTATGAATAAACTTGAAACAAAAACGCACCCCCAAGCTTGTTGGATTGCTAGGGTGGTGGCAATTCATCACTTCTTTTCTTTCTTTATTTCTCTAATTTTTTTTTAAACTTCGGCATTTACATCACAAACTATTATTTATAATAACTTAAATATTGAACTAAGGAAACAAGAATGACATGCCTTAACTTTGTGCGAATGAACAATACATAACAACCTTCGTATTACTAAGAGTAGTTTAGGCCGCGATCTTGTGAGTTAGGACTCAAGTTCTCGATCTAGGTACTAAATCAAAGAGGATCCTTGCCACTCATTCAAAATGTAGTAGGCTTGAAAAATATTAAAACCTCACTTTTGGAAAACAATGTGAGATCAAATACTACCTTTCGGGGTTCAAATTCCTTTGATATGGGCGACACCTTCTTACCACAATCCTAGACCTAAGTCTCGTACATTCGGTAAGATTATTCTCACACTAGCCTAAACTAGCCCATTCTATGTTCAACCAAGGGCATCTAAACCATGCTCGAAATTTTATTACCAAAAGAAAGCAAATATCCATCACATGCAATCCAATATCATCATTGAGGACTAGTCTAAAAGTAAAATGTTTTTTTTTTTTTTTTTTTGGAGGTTTAAAGGGACTAAGAGGAAAATATAAACAAGAATAGAAGGGAAGGAGTTACCATTAGTCTTGATGTAGTAGTATCTGTTATATACAAGGTGGTAAAAGAGTAGTGATTAGTAGCAAAGCAAACAAGGACTATTATGAGTGGATCATACACATAAGAGTTAAACAATCATTCCACAATTCATAAATAAACCGTCATTTGCAAAACTAAGGCAATTATATCACAAGCTCACTTGAATTCGTTTTACCATCAAAGACACTAATCGAATCATCAAGCCAAATGACTACAAGCAAAGACAATATATACAAAGTCTAAACTAATTAAAGGAAACACAATTATTATTATTATTTTATTTTTTGAAATAAAAGGGGGGAAGAGGTACTAGCTAAAGAATTTGGATTAAGGGAAGAGGAACTAGCTAAAGAAGATTAGGAGAGGGGAGGAGAAGAGGAGGAGAGGAGAAACTAACTAAAGAATTTGGATTAAGGGCTTTGGATTTTAGGGAAGGAGAGGAGGCTCATCAACAAATATCATCATCAAAGGTGAAGCACATAAACCAAACCAAGCTCATCAAAATGCAAACATTCAACCATTAATTAACCAACCAAGATAAACGGAGCATAATCAAATTAAGCACAAAACTAGCAACATCAAATCCCAACTCTATACAAGGCCTAAATACTCCCCCAAGCTAGACATTTAGTCACCGTTTCAATGAAACAAAATAGGCAATGAAGTAACCTCCCCCAAGCTTGGGATTGGCACCGTCCTCGGTGTCTCAAGAAGTGAAAGGGGCAATGAAACGGTAACTAGAATGTCTAGACCATCTAATTACGTCGGCGTCCCGGCGAATAGTGATAATTGTAGTTAATATCTACATCACTAGAAGTGGCCGTGGCGTCTACATAAGGAGGTAGATCATAGTTGGGACAAGTGCGGTAATGGCCAAAGTCCGGCATACCTTGCTCACCTTAACCACCATCATAGCCGGGTGGAAACCCGTAATGCCCCCTTAGGGGGGGATCGAGTACCTCTGAAGATGAACTATCACCTCTAACCTCTGGGACATAGTAATAGCTAGGGTCGCCCCTATAATCACATCCCCCGGGTTGGGTGTAGTCATAGGGTGGGTAGGAGCGAAGCTCATCAATTGAATGGCGCGGGCCTTGCCAAAAAGGGTAGGTGGGTTGACCATTATGCCAACCCGGAACCGGCCCTTGTTGAACGGGTCGGTTGGGACAGTTAAGGTAAGGGGCACTAGTAGAAAAAGGCTTATTTGCGTCGCTCATTTATAGTGTATTTGCGTCGCTTCTATGAGCGACGCAAATGACTTTTAAGTCATTTGTGTCGCTTCTAGGCGCGACGCAAATAATAGTCATTTGCGTCGCTTCTTTATATACAAGCGACGCAAATGACTCTTCTGATAAACTTATTTTTTGTCATTTGCGTCGCTCCTTTATAAACAAGCGACGCAAATGACTCTTCTGATAAACTTATTTTTTATTATTTGCGTCACTCCTTTATAAAGAAGCGACGCAAATAACTCTTCAGATAAACTTATTTTTTGTTATTTGCGTCACTCCTTTATAAAAGAGCGACGCAAATGAATTTTCTGATAAACTTCTTTTTTGTTATTTGCGTCACTCCTTTATAAAAGAGCGACGCAAATGACTCTTCTGATAAATTTCTTTTTTGTTATTTGCGTCACTCCTTTATAAAAAAGCGACGCAAATGACTCTTCCGATAAACTAATTTTTTGTTATTTGCGTCACTTGTGTTTATAGGAGTGACACAAATGACTGAGTAGACAATACAAAGCTGCTGTGTTTGCGTCACTTGTTTGTTTAATGAGTGACGCAAATGAGGTGAATTTTTTTTTTAATTATAATATAATAATTGCCTTATATATGTTTGTAGTACCTGTTTTCCTTACTAGTGGTATAAAGTAATATGCTAACGCTAATATAATTGAAATTAAAATGCAATATTATTGAATAATGCAAATGTAAATTTCGGCAGAGTCTCCTTTGTAATTTGGCCTACCCATAAAATTGGGAATGACGGCATTATATTAACAACCTGTCCAATAATTTACATCTCAATATCATAGACATTATACTCATCATCCCAACACCAATTAACCAAATTACTTCATTTCAAGCCTATAATCCAAAACAAGAGTCAAACATGCGCTAAGTGGTAAATCTAAAGTTCAACATTACATATAAAATACTCTGCCCAAATTTCTCGGATCTCATTTATCTCCTCCTCGGTGTACGGTGTAGTTCTTGAAAAATCCTATCAACACAACAAATATACAAGAGGAAAGTTTTAATTCAAAATTGTAGCTAACATCAAATTGTATTTATCAAACAAAAATGAAATATTTGACAACTCATACCTGAATAAGATCTTCACTGCTACGGTGATGTTCAAGTATTTCGTACATATAACGCATGACGTAGTAGCCACACTCACGTCCACCCAATTGTTGAGGACACTACATGTAATATATTTGTAAGTTGAATAATTGCTATACTTCAATTATTAAGAAACTAAAAGTTAGGGTAAGAAATTAAGGTAACCTGTCCCAAATGCCATGTCAATTTACTTCCCCTAGATTGTCCACTTAATGCCTTAAAACTTCGAAAAGCACTACACATTTGAAACAAATAACATATATATTACCCTTACACACATAAAATCATGACATTAATAACAAACTAGACTTACTTTGTCATTGCAAACTTAATTGCTAAATTTCGCTTCTGCCTCAAAGAATCAAAGATGATGACTTCACGCTTAGCCATGCATAAGACCAAAAGAACCCAATGATTCCTACATAATAAATTAGACACACATTTGTAAAATAGTAAAATAATATCAACAATTTTCAAAGTTCAAATAAATACTAGTTCAAAGTTTATACTTTTCATGGTATGGGCATAAGATGAAATGCTTAGTTTTCTTTAAACCCACGACGAATTAGATGATCTTTAATATCAACTATATCACGATATCCCCTTGAATTATTACAGTCACAACAAGGACAAAGAATAATCTTTGATTTATTCTCTGTTTGGTATTTTAAGGCAACAGTGCTAAACTCTTCAATTCCTCGTAAAAAACTTGTACAATTTCGTTTACCATACATCCAACTTCGATCCATTTTCAACCACTGAATAACAAAATTAATTTTAAGATAATGTGTATATTTTGTAACATATATAGCTCCTTAACTATAAACAAGAATATAAGGCATCAAACATTTTCATTCAAAGTTTATATCATGTAAATGCAACTCCGGATGATCCAATAAGGTCCTTATCACTCCAACCTAACTCATTCTTGAATGTCCTATCTTACTAATAACTACTTGTAAAGTTTGGTTGTAAAGAAAATCCGGCAGCATTTCCCTATAGTTCTCCAAGCACACAATGTAGATAATCGGCTATCAACATATGTACCCAGAGAACAATCGGGAAATAGTGAGCCATGATCTTCTTAGACCCAAAACAATTCAAGTAGTTATCACCTAAATGAGATAGAACATTTAAGAACAGTCCCAAACCGGGGACTATTCAAGACTTACTCCTAATGAGTAAGCCCTGAACGGGTATCTAAGCCAATGATGCAAGTATTATTGCAATTCCAATCAATTATATCACAATTAAAAATCTCATACAATTCACAATCATTATACCAACCAGAACAAATAAGTTAATATTGCAAAGAATGGTTCAGATATATATACCACAAGTGAAGACAATCTCGTATGCGTACTACCACCTTAATCGTTTGTCCACAACCAGAACCTCGAGCAACTTGTGGAATTCACTTCCGCATAATTAAGAATCTGCCATAAGAAATTACATATATTAAACCAACATAGTTGATTCAACTTAATTTGCCATGTGACATAAAAGTTGTTATTCGGCATTGCTTATTAGCCAACCATGGTGTAAAACTTGAAGACCTGAAACGAGTGTTAAATGCTAGGTCCAACTTAATCTGCCATGTGAAATAAATGCTAGTTGTTATTTTGAATTTTTTTTTTAATTAAGGGTTGAACAAGGTGGTTGTTTAATGGATGGAATATTGATTTATAGTTTTTTTAACTTGATGACTGATTGAAGGTCACCTTAGCTAGGTCTAACGGATGGGAAGTACCTTTTTTGTCGCCTAAAGTATGTGAAATACTTCTCTAAACACACAGATTAGGTTTTTTTTTTTTTTTTTTTTTTTTTGAAAAGTGTTTCCTTGTTGATTAGATTTGTAAAGTTGTTTCTGGAAAGGCAAGAAAGCTGATTTTACAGCCTTTCATATCAGTCAGATGAAACAAATATTAGTCAGTGAGTAACAAAGACCAAAAACGAGAATTTCAGATTGCCACCTCCAACAAGTGCATACCATTCACAAAATTATGATTAACTGTTTTCTAACAAGTACAGAAAAAACATGTATCAGTCCTAAAAGACACTGAGCACTCCACCTTTTTCAATTGCATCCAAACAACATTTATGTTCTGTTTGCCTAACATTCATACTAGAGCAGCAGATTGCTACGGAGTATTATTTTATCAAAATTCAAAGCTTCATTGAGAAAGTCAAGAACATTGGCAACTTTAAAATCCTAGATGCATATAAGCAAAAATTAAGGAGTGAAGCTATAAAGCCTTAAAGACAACACAACACTTACCATAACACATCTTACGAGGAAACATGTAAAACATATTGTGGTTACATAGCCAACCTGCAAAAGGTGCACAGCAACATTATTAATCACAAGGAATGCCAAATTTCAAAAAATAATTTAAAAAAAGATCTGTGAACATAAACCCATCGGGAGAAGAGGGTTAAGACAGAGAGAGGAATGCACCTCCTGAAGCTTTTTACGTCGTCCTTTTGATTCTACAGGGAACCGTTGCAACATCAAGAAAAGCCTGCCCATAAAGACCATCAACAATGGAGGTATACAAATAATGATAAACAAAGCTAAAATTATAACAAGAATCTTCTTTGTATGTTCAGGATTAAAAAAAATACTTGATCTACAAACACTTTAAAATAGAAACAATCACTCCACCTAAAAGCTTAAAGCAACGGAGATATACTGTGAGAAACATGAATATAGCTACAAGAAGAAAGCATATTGCATAATCAAATATTTACATATACTACTGCTGAGATGAGACACCACAAGCCTTGTGGAGCTCCATCACCAGGTGCAGAAGTGCGAACTAGACTCTTTCACTACACACAGGGATGCGCCATAATGAAAAACCCAATAGAAAACTAAATCACCAAGAGTTAACAATTTATTCATGCGTTATTGACTATGCTATTTAGGCTTGGGTATGCCGGTATGGTACATATCCGTTTTCAGGGACTATGCAATATGCTCAAATGACTATGCTATTCTACAGACTGTTCAAAGATGCAAACAAGCAACCAGTAGTATATTGCAAAACAGCAACTGTAAAAATCTACAGACTAAATGTACTAACTGAAAACATGCAGGTGAATATATTAAACCAGTAGAATTGAGATGAGCCTCAATGAAAATTCAATGACTGAAATTAAAAAAATTCAATTAAATCTGCCATATAATTTCTAATTAGTGAACTAACACTAAACCTGAAATTAAACTAAGTCATTGTTCAAGTTAAATGCTACATTCTATCTACCATGAAAAGATTGAACATAAATAGAAGCAATCTTACCATAGGTGAAATTGACTTCAAAAATTCAACAATGTCGAGCCGAAATCGATTTTTGGGGGCGAAAATTAAGCGATTTTTCCACTCTAAAATTCAAAAATTCAACATTGCTGTAATTTGCTTGAACTTCCTCGGGTTTTTGGGGGCGAAATTAAGCGATTTTTCCACTCGAAAATTTCAGTTATTGCTCGAATTTTTTCAGCAGGATTTTTAATTGAATTTTTTGGGGTTTCTAGGGTTCGAATTCGTATGGAATTGAGTACATTTTTTGCTCGAAATGGGGGATTTTTGGTCGAAAATAATCAATTTTTCTGGGGTTTAAGGGTTCGAATTAATTAGGGTTTTTGGTCTAAATTTTTGCTCGAAATTGCTCGGATTTGGTGCCGATTATGGGTGTTGAACTTGATTGCGATTTTGGATGTTGAATTTGCTGAGGAATTGCAGTTTTTTGGGCGAATTTGTGGGTGTTTTTTGGGCGAATTTGCTGGGTGTTTTTTGGGCGAATTTGATTGCGATTGTGGGTGTTGAACTTGATTGCGAATTTGCGATTATGGGTGTTTTTTCTTTTTGTTTAGTGAATTAGTGAAAGGTAGGCGTGAAAAGCTAAGGTCAAAAAAGCGCAGAATGAATAACCTAAAATGCAACAGAGTTATTTGCGTCACTTTATAATAAAAATGCGACGCAAATAACAAAAACTGAAATGCTGAAAATTTGTTATTTGCGTCGCTCATTTATTAAAAGAGTGACGCAATTTATTCACTGCCTTATTTGCGTCGCTTGTCAATAAATAAGTGACGCAAATAAGTTTATTATATGCGTCGCTTCAATAAATAAAAGCGACGCAAATGATAGAAAGCTAACATACACTTGACTTTTGCGTCGCTTCTTTAATAACAAGCGATGCAAATAACTTTAAAGGATGGTAAAAATACACATTTGCTTCGTTCTTTAGAATGAGTGACGCAAATATGGCGACGCAAATGAGCCTTTTTCTACTAGTGGGGGAAAGTCTCCCCTCTCAACTTGATGTTGGTAGCTTCTTTCCGCTACAAAACTTTGATATTCATTTTGCTCAAGAAGTCTTTGGTTAGTTAAATTCAGTTGGTTGAAACCATATTCTACATCAAAGAGGGAAGAGGAAGAGGAGGAACCACCTACCCTAGATCGGGGGATGGAGGATGTACTCGCACGATGGGGTATAAGTACATCCTCGTTATTACCGGCCATACCACGTGGGGGCTGCTCACGTGGCACTTGCCACGTGGTCCCCACCGAGCTATTAACCGCCGGGTTTGGGAGAGTGCAATAACGCTTCCCATTGACTTTCCAACTATAGCAAATATTATGGCCCTCAATTTCAGTAAGGAACTTCATATCACTAAGTGCCTTAAGATCAAGCATGTTAGAACCTTGGACCGGGGTCATTTGGTCTAGATAAGACCCAAACCCTAACTTATTCGCAATAATTGAAACCATTCCCCCGCATCTAATTTCTCCACTCATCTCTCCACTTTCCCTTATTTCGATACATCTTTTGATGAACAAGTATCCCATGTTCACATACCCTTCCACATTTCCTTCGAATCTTGAAGCTAGAAAGAGGTATTTGATCTCCTCTTTAGTTAGCTTCCCTAAGTCTTGTTTAGAAAAACAAGCATAGCTCATGATTCGCATAAAACTTCGAAGGACGGGGTGGATAATGTGGCTAGCATGGCTAGACCGGGTTGTGAAATTGGGATACCCCGCAATGGTATTCCACCACACTTGCTCCTCATAGCTTGAGAAGTAAGTACCATTGGGGTCATAGACTTGGTTGAGGGTGGGCCATTCAAAAATTTCGTTCAATCTCGTCAAAGTTAAGGTTCTTTCGACATTGAACATTCTAAATTTTATCTCACATTCCAATGGCTCATCCTCAAGGCTAATGCGTTTCATAGAAACCGATGAAAGGAATTCAAGAGTTAGGGAAGAAAAGGTTTCTTCCTCAAGGTTCAAGAATTTTAGCCAACCGAAGTTTTCGGCTACTCTTCTAATTCCATCATCGACCCCTAGAAGTCGCATTGATTGTTGATGATAGAATCGGGTTGGAATAATTTTTCGCTTGGAAAGGTCATCGAATTCCTTTTTAAATCTTTTATCGATTTTTAAGGTTGGTGGTGGGTTAGGGTTTTCTTGTTGTGAAGGGGATGAGGATGATTGAGGTTCACTAGTCTTTCTTTTCTTAATCCCTCCGATGAATTTCTTCATTTTTGGATTAGGAAAGGCTATTTAAGAATATCACTCAACAACAAACAACTCCACACCACCCTTAACTTCAAACCCCCTTAAAATCCAAGAGTACATGTTTCACAATACAACCAAAATATATCCAACACACAATTTTTCAAGAACAATGCACTTCACAATTTCACAAAAATCAAAATCACAAATTCCCAAAATCTAAGAAATTTCCAATTATAAATTCAATTATCCTAAAAATCATTCACGAAATTTTTCTAACTATCCTCCAAAGACAAAAATACTTGCTTGAATTCACCTAATCATGCAACTAGTCACACAAACTCAATGAAATTAGCAAGAATTAAGAAATTTTAAAGAAAGAAGTTGAGTAGAGTAATGGATTATACCAAATAGAGTATGAAAATACTCTAAAACCCTCCAAAACCACTCAAATTTTGCTCCTTCTTCTTCAAGCTTAAACCTTTTACTCTTGTTCTTCAATGGAGGAATTAGGGGTTTTCAAAATTTTGACCAATTTTGTGTATTTTTGTGATTTTTAGAAAGAGAATTGGAAGGGGAGTGAGGATTTGTGAATTTTTAGTGAAGAAAGTGAAGGATTGATGATGATTTTGATGAGAAAAGGTAGAGAAAATGGGGTTTTTAGAGTGAGAAAGAGGTGGGTAAAGAGGAGAGAGAATATGAATAAGGTGAAATGAGAGGTTAGAAGTGAAAGAGGGTAAAAAGGGATAAGGGGGAAATCCCTTTTTTTTTTTTACACGGCAGGGGAGGGGCGCCCGCTCTGTTGAAGAGGAGCGCCCGCTCCTCCCTTTGAGGGTTGCTACTTCCTCTTTTTCGTCAGTAGGAGCGGGCGTGCAGGATGGTAGGAGCGCCCACTCCTACTTCTTTACTTCGATTCTGCCAATTTTTTTTCAAAATTCAATATTTTTTTTTTCGAGAGCTGAACATAGGAGCGGGCGTGCAGGTGTATTGGAGCGCCCGCTCCTACTACTTGTTGTAGGTTCTGCCTCAATTGCTGCAAGTAGGAACGGGCGTGTAGGGTGGTAGGAGCGCCCGCTCCTAAGGTTGCTGGGAGATTCTGCTTTGTTTGCTGGTAGTAGGAGCGGGCGTGCATTTGAGCAGGAGCGCCCGCTCCTATCTTGAATTTTCGAATCTGCCTTTTTCTGATATCCTTTTGCAAATTACCTACAACAAAAACAAAACACTAAACAAACATTCAAAATGTTAAGTGTTAGTTTAAGCTCTTTCATCTCTCCTTTTTTTTTTTTTTTTTTTTTTTTTGAGTAAAAGCAAAAATACTCGGGTTGCCTCCCGAGAGCGCTTCTTTAACGTCACTAGCTTGACGCAAATTCGAAAAATATCCTCAAGGTGGGATAAAGTTCGAAACCAAATTGTCACCATTGTTTTCATTGTTACAACTTGCCATCTTGGGCAAAACCAAATTGTTTTCTTGACTAACACCTACAACAAATTCATTTTCATCAATTTTCTTTGAATCCTTCTTCTTCCTTTTTCTCCTTGATTTTCCCTTCCTCTTCTTCTTGGAAGCTTTTATGTCACCCTCTTCATCCTTGTGAGTGTCGGACTCACCATCTTCAAGCATAGTCTTGAGGCAAGCAAGCATGGCAATCACCTCATCAAACCTATCCAAACCTTGCTTTGACTCATGGACATTGAAAAGAGGATTAGTAGTTGTAGACACCCATTTGTGTCTCTCCAAAACCAAACCCAGTGATGAATACCTTTCACGTCGAACCATAATCGAATGAGGTGAAAGTGTGAAAAGTCTAGTGTTGCGGTTAGTTTTTGTTAAAATCCTTTCTTTCTGTTTTCGAAAACCCACTCTTTTTTATGAAAACGTCAATTCCAGTTTAGTTTGGTCCATGATAAGGGTCCAATAATGGTTTAGTTGGATAGGGCTTGCAAAGAACTTTCCAACGATATATTATAAGCCCAATTCCGATGAATAATGAGGAAGTTATGGCCAAAATACTAAACTGGGCCCAAACCGGATTTTGTCTACGACCCAATGATCATGGGGAGGGTCCAAAGGTTTAATCCTATTCCTAAGGATTGATTAGAATCTTCTATAAGTTTCTAAAATATCTTAATTATCCTTTTTTGAAAAGATAAGATTAAGGAATTTGATTTAAATATAAACTTTCCTTTTTTTTTTTATAAAACTTTCCTTTTTTAAAGTCCTAATTCTATTCGGATTTAAACATATTCAAAGACAGTCAGATATTATTTTCGTGCCTCATATTTTTTATCCAAATTTTATATGTTTGGATATATCTTGAAATTATCTTTCCAGTGATATATTATAATAATAATTCCGAGATATAACGGAAAAGATATGAATAAGATATCAAACACTATCCAAAACTGACACTGTCTCACTATTTCGTTCATATCTTTTATTCTACAACATATTTTAATCTGATTTTGATTGGGTTAGAAAGTAGACTTCAATATCTTTCCAACAACATCTTATTCATCTTATTCTAATTCCTGGATAAAAAGATATGATAAAAACAAATTCAGCAAAAACTGTTGTCTACGAGTCTTATTTCGATTAAATTTAATATTAAGTATGATTAAAAGTACGATGCTTCCTATGTTCTTCCTAATATTTATGATTGTTAGTATCATGTTAGGGTTAAAGATTTTATTTTTATTGCTTAGTGACATGCTAGGGTTTGTTATTAATCTTGTTAGTATCATGCCTAGGATCTTGCTATTTTTATTATGCTTTATTATTAACATGAACATGATTATGATTATAATTGTTATAATGATTATTATTACTATTTTGATGATGATTATTTTATTTATGATTATTGTTTTGATTTTATCTATGATGATTATTATCATGATGTTGATTATTTATTATGTAGCTTTATTATTTATTGCTTGATCACACCTTTTATGCATGTTTAAAAGGGAATTTGTACTTGTAACCACGCTTAATAAGATATTTAATAATCTTGTTAGGGTTAATTGTGATTATAATTCAAGTGATCGCCAATAATAGTTTATTTGTGCATTAATATTCAACCAACATAGATTAAACAGGTTTAGGGTTAATCCTATTGATTGTATGTTAGTCAGAAAACGCACGTGAATACGATCAGAATAAAGTAGAGGCCTATTATTAGGGCAGGTTCAATCTCTTTTAGGTTGGATTTGTACCATCATCCCCGAACCCTTATTTGGTTCATGACCTTATGGAGTTGACGATCTCTTAGATCGTCAAGGGGTGTAACCTTCACCTCGTGAACGGTTTACAAGTTCCTTAAAAACTTGTTGGCGACTCTTTTGCTCTATCTTCTTCCCTTTTGGACGCCACCGTACTTTAGTGTATGATCACAGTGGGGTTCAAGCTAGTGGGATTTTAAAGGCTTGAAATTATTCCCTACAGTTTTTTGCGACTCCACTGGGGAGGATTTCTATTTTAATTCCTGAATTTGTTTCGGCAATGATTTAGAATGAGTGGATGAGACTCGAAAAGTTCTAAGTATTTCATGTGCATAATTTTGATTAATATTGTGGCATATGCATAAAAAGGTTCTCATTAGAAAGACCATCCGTAATGAGTCAAAAACATAGGATTTTTACACGTAGGAAATTTGAGAAATGTCTTTCACAACTAGGACTGAAATAACACCGCGCGAAACAGGATGATTTTATTGAGCACAGAAAGCTGCTGAGGCATGTGGGAAGTAGCGTCAGGGTCCAGAGCTTGGCGCCAAACTTTTAGCCGTAGCGCCAGACGCCAGTATTGGCGCCAGGCGCTACAGTTAAAAGTTGGTGCCAGTCTCTGTTTGCTGGCGCCAATTTCCCCTAATACCGAGCCAGAAATATGCGTTCTAATTTTGACCGGTTTTTCGTATTGTTTGCTCGATCCTACTTCCTGATTGATTTTTTTTTCTTACTTTTCTGAAACCCATATGTGTTCTACATATGGACATAACCCTCTGGGAATTCATGCTCTATCTACCTGATTGAACGCTCATGGCAACAAAGGGTACATCTGAGAGGTTGAATTCACCAAACCATGGAAGTGAGCTTTTTTTTTCAAAAAAACTCGCGGTGTTCTATCCACATGCGTTAACCCTTCACGGTTAGGCTTCTACGCGGTGCATCTGGACAATTAACCATGGACCCTATTTGACTAAACCATATCCCGAACTTTAGAGAACTAGAGCCATGGTTAGGTTGCGAACTCATTGCATCATGTTGTGCCTACTTGACTAATTGTGCATTATTTGTTGTGCATATATATCATATGCTCTTCTTAACCGTTTGTCGATTTGTGTTGAGATTATAATTAATGACTTAAAGAACTTTTCCTAATTAATTAATTAATTAATTAATTCGAGTCAATGAAGTTTTTTCTTCTTTTAATCGGAATTGACCTAGTACGACTTTAGGCATACCCCAGTTGACTAATAATATCGAAAACAGTCCCAGACCGAGACTCCAATATTGGTGCCAAAATCTGAGTTGTAGCGCCACTGTATGGTGCGTAGCGCCAGACATTTACTAAAAAGTCTGGCGCCAACCACCATATTATGACGCCAGTCCTGTCGCTTGGCCGACAGTTCGGATTATTTGTCGAGTCATCACCTAATGTCTAATTAATCAGTTTCCTGTTTAATTCGGTTAATTTTGCTGGCAATAATGCTTAATTGAATTAATATTCGAGTTTGGGCACTAAGTTCCATGGTCTTACAAAAGAGTCCAAACATGTCACTTACACTCAATACACACACCAATACACATGTCTTGACCATGATTAAGGGAGTCTTGTGTGCGCGCGTTATTTTTCGTCCTTTTTTTAGGGGGGGTAAGTCGGATATTAATCCTCCAATAAATAATAATACTTAAATTCCCTAAAAACATGTACATTATTGCTCCTTAAAAATATGCATACTTTTTGCATACCCCTTTTTTTAAAAAAATAAAAACCATAAAGTCAATTTGATCCGAGTCAAGTAATTAAAACGCAAACTGGCTTAATTTACAGCGCGTGGTCAAGAAAGGAAGGACGATTAATCAAAGATAACCTCTTCGTACAAGTCCAACCTTTCGACAAACCTATAGCCTGCAGGAGGAAAGCAAGAGTCATAATGGCAACTCAGGAAGAAGTTAACGATCTCAAGAACCAACTGGCTACTGTAACTGAGACACTGAAGCTTCTCGCACTTAAGATCGAAGATCCCGCGAAGCAACAACAAATGGACCTCATGCAAGAAAGCATAAGCAAGTTGTCCAGCGACTACAAGTTTCAAGAACTCACATCCCAAGGGGTCTCAGTGGATAAGGATCTTCTTCCGCAGAAGTTCAGTGCCAACGACATCCCAAAGTTTAGAGCAATCGACAACCCATACTTCCATCTAAGGGCATTTGAAACAATAATGAGTATCAAGGGTATCGATAAGAAAGTCTTCCCTTCTCTGTTCTCGCTATCTCTCGAGACCGTTTGCCAACAATGGTTCTTTTCTCTCGAAAAAGAAAAGACCTCTACCTGGGAATCCATAGCAAACGCTTTCGTTGATAGGTACAAGTGCAACGTTCAAGTCGAAACTGACCATAGAGAACTTGAAATTCTCAAGAAGAAGGAGAACAAAGGCTTCACATCTTTCTTTAACAAGTGGAGAGAAACCTCAGCTAAAATGATTGAGGTACCAAGTGAAAAAGAGTCCGTGAGACTGTTCATTAAAAACCTCCAAGAAAAATATTCAAAACATCTTAAATATCAAAATAACCTTCATACCTTTAAGGTTGTTTATGATATTGGGATTAATATCGAAGATGACTTGGCTAAATCTAAAGCTTCCAACAATAACTCCAACAGTGACTGGAAAGGAAAGAAGAACGACAATCCTTCTTCTTCCAAAACCGCCCATTCAAATAATGTTAGCGCCTTTAACCTGGGAGAAGTCCTCGCCATGAACAACCAAGGACAAAAGAAACCGTTTAGGAGAAACTTCACTCCTATTGGCATGAGTTATGACACCGCGTTTGATCGACTAAATGCAAAAGGTCTTATAACTCCCATTGGACCATTTGGAGATCCACCAGTCGAGAAGAGGTCGCCTAATTGGAACCCCAATGCAAATTGCAAATATCATCAAGGTAGGGGCCATTCTACTGAAAGTTATTGGAAGCTTAAGGAAGCTATCCAAGACCTAATTGACAGTAACAAGCTGCCATTGCCCCCTGCCAGTAAGAAACCGAGTATTGACAATGCACCTCTAGCTCATACTTTGGTTATCTCTGATGAAGAAAGCGAAGTTGACCCCTCATCTCTCATTAAGCCTGTCAAAGCAACCAATGTCGAAGAAGAAGAAGAAGAGACCTTTTTCGATGTCAAAGATAATCTTCCAGAACCAGCAAATGAGGTAGAGATACGAATACTCACACTGTATCTGAGGGAGACATCGCAACTGTTACATGAAACTCTCAAAATTTTGAAAGAACTTCACAAGGAATATGATGAAGAACCTAAGAGAGAATTCACAACAGTAAAAACGACTTATGAGGCAAAATACTTTCCCTTACAAGTCACCGAAAGACCCAAGAAGAGCAATAAAGTTTATACTCCAATTGGGATCCCGTATACACAAATGTTTGAAATGCTCTCCGAGAATG